CGGCGGGGCGCCACGGCCAAATACCGGACAGCCCACGCCACGCGGGAGCGCATCCGCGTCGAAGCCTTCAACATGGCCTTCGCCGAGCTGCGGAAGCTGCTGCCCACCCTGCCGCCGGACAAGAAGCTCTCCAAGATTGAGATCCTCCGCCTGGCCATCTGCTACATCTCCTACCTGAACCACGTGCTGGACGTCTGAGCCGCCCAGCCTGTGTCCGTCTGTCTGTCTGCCGCATCTCCTACCTGAACATGTGCTGGGCATCTGAGCCAAGAGCTCAAGTCCGTCTGTCCATCTATGACCTGAACCACATGTTGGGCATCCAAAATGCTGTGCCTGTGTTCATCCGTCTGTTCAAATGGACCAAGTCCCCAGCTGTCTGCTCTACCCCCTATCTGAACTATGTTCTGTATTTCCCCACCACCAAGCCCACGTCCGTCTGTCTTTCCCTCCTGTCTGAGTCAGGCTGGATGTTTGGTCCATCAGCCATCTGTCTGTCCTGCTGGATCTGCTGCCTGAAGCCTGTGCTGGCCGTGTATGCTCCCAACTTCTGTCCGTCCTTCTGCTGCGCATCCCGCTGATACTGCCTACAGGATCCTGAGCCCACATCCGTCAGTCTGTCCGCCACGTCCGCTCCCTGACCCGCAGCAGGAGCCGCTGAGCCCAAGTCTGTCTGTGTGTCACCTCTTTTATACGAGCCACAAAAAAATGGACCTGTGAAACACTGCAGCACCAAGCAGCCCCGGGGCCTTGTCCGTCTGTCTGTCTGCGCCTTCTGCCACCGGCCGCCCCACCAGCACGGCCAGTCTGGGCATTTTGTCTGTTTGCTGCTGCTCTGCCCCCGGCATCGCGCTGGGCACTTAAAGGCCCACATCAGGACCGTCCTCTCCGCGGAGGGAGCACAGCCCAGGAGCATCCTTGGGCACGGAGCGGCTCCTCTGTGTTTGCCCTGGCTTTTCACACCCCAAAAGGAAGCACAAAGTGTGGTGCAGACCTGGCAGGACCTGGCCACGCTTTCCATGGACAACAGCGGCAGGTTCCCCTCGAGACGGAGCAGAGAGGCGTGCTCGCTCACTGTGCTGCCTGCAAGGTGCCCGGAGCAGCGCTGGCCCTGCTCCCATGCCAGGCTGGAGCAGCACCCGGTGTCTCTCCAAGCCCCTCCGTTGCACATCTGGTCTCCCCGAAGCTCAGCACTCTGCTCCCCAGACCCGTGCATCCCAGGCTTTGCTGCCCGACCCTCCTTTGCACTAGTGCACGACGAGCGTGAAGCCCCCCTGGTCTGGCCCGTTGCACCCACAGACGTGACCACCCCGGGGCACCAGACCTTCATCCCTCCCGACTCTTCCTCTGTCTCCCCTTCGGTGCTCCTGGTGAAAAAGGCCTGGGGTCACAAGCGTGGCACGTGCCCCGGCACGGGGGGACGTCAACGCTCAGCTCCCCCGGCGCCGCGTCCCTCCTCTGCAGCGCAGCTGGTGCTGCCGGGGCTCATGTGCAAAGAGGCTTCGCCCCGGGGTGCCGCGGGCCCCCCCGTTTACGCCAGTATGGCACTGGTGCAGCGTGATCCTTTCACAGCACACGCTCTGCTGGGGTAAACTGCACTTTACCTGCGGCTTGCAGGGCAGCGGGGTTGGAGAGGGGAGGAAGCAGGCACGGCCCCTTTGCCCAGCTTCCAGCAGCCGGGGCTCTCCCCGGCCCCCCCTAACACGGATCAGCACTTTGGGAGAGGGAGGGGAGCGGGAAGGGAAAGCAGAGCCAAGCAGCCTTTTCACCAGCAAGGGCACGCTGAGGCTGGGGAAAGCTCGTTGCGAGAGTGAATGTTTTGCCTTGTTTTATGGGTGTGTGTGTTTGTTTTAAGAGTTAATTTTGCACTGGCAGTGGCAAGAGCACAAGCAGAGCCCGGGCTGGGGACCAGGACCGCGCAGAAACCACTGACTGTGCTTAGAGCCAACGCTCCGGGCCGGGAGCAGAGGCACAGCCTGGCCCACGGGGAATGAGTTGGAGCTGCTCCTCGTCGAGCCTCGCCGCGAGACAGGCAGTGGTCCGGCCCATGGGGTAGGTGCTGGGGGAGATGGACTTCGGTGTGCCAGAGATGAAACGTTCGTGGTGAGAGGGTCAGTGCCATGTCCTGCGAACACCAGCAAACCCCCAGAGCCGGAGCAGGGGGTCCCAGCAGCACCTGCCCTGCTCTGCCCTCCAGGGTCCCACCCTCCGCTTTTTGCCCCCCCGAGGTGCTGGCCGCTGCCCGTGCTGGGTGTCCGAGCCCTGCGAGCTGGGCTTCCCGGGACCTCGCAGACCTCCTGGCTCCATCCCACCCCTGCCTTTGCCACCAGCTCCCAGCGACGCCTCGCTCCGTACCTCATTTTCCCCCTCCCCGTAAAAGCAGGGAGAACGATCGCTACCTCTGTCTCGCAAGGACTCACCAGTGAATGTGGGATCCCCGAGGGCCGGAGCAGCGGACCCCGCAGCCGGCTCCCCCGTCACCGCACCGCTCAGCGGGGCAGCGGCAGAACAAGACAGAGCAGGGCAGCCCACCCTTCCCCTCCCACTCACCAGCCACGTCTCTGTGCCACGAGGATATTTATTGAATTAATTTATTGATAAATGTTATTATTTATTTGCTGTGTTGTGCACTTTTGGGAAAGGAAAACTAGAAAACAAACAAAAAACTAATGACCACGGCGGAAAACCAACCAACCCACCCTTGTACGCGGTGTGCCCCAGCGTGTGTTTGTCTTGGCTGTTCAGGCTGTGCAAGGATTTATTATTTATGAGTTCACAAGGAAGTCGGGGAGGGGGAAATAAATTAAACTGCCAGCAAAAGAGAGATCTTGAACTTGGAGTGCCCAGCTTCCCTTTTTCTTTCTTTCTTTTTTTTTTTTTTTAATCTTGTTTTTAACCGTCTCTTCCTTGCGCTGTTCCGTGGTGGTGGCAGGTTCCCCACGCAGGAGTTGATGGCTGTGGCCGTGCCTGTGAAAGGAGGCGGTGGGAGGGAGGCCATCGCCCACCGCTCCGGCCAAGGGACCAGGACGTGTCCTCTTGGCACTCGAAGAGTCCTGCCAGCACGGGCTGGGCTCAGGCTTGCTCGGAGCCAGGGCGGACGCCATGTCTTTGGCTTTCCCCGGGTCTGCAGTCACTGTTTGAGCCCAGCTTGGGTTTGCTGGGACAAGCAGGCCCCGAATGGCCCGGTCCTTCTGGTGACAGCAGAGGGATGAGGACATCTGGTCCAGACATCAGCATCTCCAAACACACCCAATAAACCACCTTCTCTCTCCTGCGTACCCCTGGGAAATCAGTGCGGTCCCGGCTCCAAAGTCACCCATCGCTTGACCGTGCACCTCTGCCTAGCAGAGCCCCCGCGGTCCCCTTCTCCGTGTCCCCCAGCCCTCTCCCCTGCGAGCCCCCAGCGCTTTCCCCGCTTCCTCGGCCCACCCCGAGCTACGCGGGGAAGCAAGTTTGCGGCTCATCTCCTTTGTCTGCGCCGATCCCGCGCGTCCCTGGGGGCAGGTTGCAGCTGTTCGCCGACTTGCTCCAAATTTCTTCATATAATCAATTGGCCTCGGCTGCAGCTCGGCTCAGCAGAGATGCGTCAAAGGGGAAATAATAAACATGGGGGAGGGAGCCGGGGAAGGAAGTGGGGGGACTCTGCGCCGGGCTGCAGCATCAGGCTGCAGGGGCAATAGCGGCTGGTGGGGCACGGGAGGGGACCTTGGGGGACCTTGGCGCTCCCAGGGCCCCTTTTTGTCCCAGCTCAGGCATTTCTCCCCGGTGTTCGCCCCTTGGGATGCACCGTGTCTCCACCGCCTGCATCCAGACCCAGCTCGGCTCCCAACCCCTCCGGCGCCAGCCTCCACGCACGGAGGTTTGTGCGGGACGGCCCTCTCCATCCCACCCCCGGCCATGTGCGCTCCGGGAGGTGGTAGTCGGCTTAGGGCAGCGTGAGCTCCGCGGCGGCGGCTCCCAAACCTCTGCGGGGCCCGTTGTTCCCGGCTGCCAGCCCCGGCCCCGACATATGGTCCTCATTGTGCCTTGCACAATGGAAACACTTCATGCTAATTTAGATGCTGGTTCTGGCCTTGCTGTCATCTCCGACAGATTGGGTCCCTTGCCTGCTCTTTGTGCTTGCGGGCAGGCAGGGTAACGGGCAGCTCGGCTTCTCCTCTGCCTCCCTGAGCGTTTTCCTACCCACTTCCCAACTCTTTCTCTATTCCCACAGCTATTTCCTTCTCTCTTCTTCCCCATACACATCTCCATCTCTCCATCCCTTCCCCGGCCTCTGGAGGACGCTGGGCCCGGCGCGCAGGTAGGTGCGTGCACGAGGAATGGCTTTTCATTTGAAAAATACCCATGGAAAATAGTCCTGAAGGTGCAGATAAACAGACGTGTGTGAAACCGCTCAGCTGCTTCTGCCCGGCGGCATTTCTGTGTCCCTGCCCCGGGAGCGACGAGGTGGGGATGGCTGCTGGCTCCCTTCCATGTCCCAAAAAGGAGTAGCCGGGGCAGGACGTGACACCCCGGGTTGGGAAGGGGGAAGGCCCCCGCCTTGTCTCAGCCTGCTGCCCCAGGGCCAGGCCGCCTGTGTGTGCCCTGCTCCTCTGGGGATGTCACCGTGGGCAGCAGCTGTGTCCCCAGCTCGCCTGCGTGAGGCGGCAGTGCCATCTGCTGGGTCCCCAGGACGGGGCCCTGCAAGCTCACACCAGACCCCTGTCACCCCCCCAGGCTGGGGAACCCCGTCCCTGCCAGCCGGGCCCTGGAGCATCCCTGTCCCCTGTGAAGGGACCTGCTGCAAACCCCGCTGCAGCTCTCAGGCAGGGCTGGGACCAGGACCGGTGCAAGGGACGAAGGCAAACGGCACCCGTGCGCACACATGGGACCTTCCCTAAAGCACCCGCCGTGACCCATCCTTTTAAATGCTTGTTTTATGCTTGGTTTAGAGCACAAGGGTCCCCCGAGGCCGCGATGCCGATCAAAGCCGGGTGGCTGGGAGAGACGGGCCCCGGCCCAAAAGGGCCGACGGTCTCGCTAGATAAAGCGCGTATCTGATCCCTTCCTTCGAGACACGGAGCAGGACCTAATGAGCCATCGGATGCCTCGCACCGGTGATCGTGTAGCAGAGATAAAGAGCCCGTCTGGACGGAGACCAGAGACAGCAGCGTGGCGAGAGCCGGGCACGAGGGCGTGCAGCGGGGCAGTTTGGGACCCAC